GAAATCGGCAATGACTTAGTTGCCAACCTAATATTTTGTTGGAAACAAATAACGGCCCATCCGAATAAGCACTCATGCACAATGATACAGGAGTAAATTATTTAATCTAAGATATATATATATGCTTCTGTACCTAGTGCGTGCGGAACCGCGCCTCGGAAAACCCCAGCGGTTAATCATTATCATTATTACTAATAGAAACAAAGCAATTTTTCTTCATGGAACCGACTGTAAGTCCAATAAACAGAAAAAATGGTAAATGAGCAAAAAGTAATCGATGTTAATGCAAAAAACTAGCTATTTTCTAGATAAATATCTAGCGTTTGTTAAAACTCGATTAGCTCTCACAAACATTAAGCAATTTGCATGTTCGCAGATTTATTTGAGTTGTGTTTCAACGCCCTAAACAATTAGTGACCCAATTTATCGAAGGGGAATGCAATTAGGGCCAACTGTCCTAAAGTTGTTCGCAATAAACGAGTCGAACTCGTTCCTGGTTTATGGAAATGGGTACTAAAATTCTAAGCGAGAACAAAACCACGAGAAAAGGCTGTTGTGGAGCATGCATTCGAACGAGCATTTATTAGCATGTATCAAATGATTGTGATGAAAGTTATCATTAGGCCTTAAGTTGACTTCGGGTTTCACAGTGAGGGGAGGGGGGACATCAACGTCACAAAAAAAGTGGAGAAGGGAGGAACAGAAGAGTGTGATTCATAGATGTGAGGGAGACAGACGCAAAGGCAGTAAGTACTGTGGAAGTGACGTAATATGACATACAGTTGGGTCGTGGTACTTTGAAGTCAGAAGTCAACTGCCGGTTAATAGGCTTTTTGCCGTATGAGATAAGTCTATCGCACCCCTCTCTCCCCCCCCCCCTCCATTCGAGCAAATACAAATACTCCTATTTTTCAAAGTTATCAAATTATGCAAAGGCCTAGAATTCATTTACTACTTTGAATACGCTCAAGAGGGTTCAAATTCAGTCGATATAAGGTTGGTTAGAGAAAGTAGTGATGGGATTTTCAATAATAATCTTATACGGGCTAAATGTGGAACTAACACCTGAACAAACTTGCTGAAAAAGGATATCTTAAGGCCGACAGATGGACTTGGGTCGGCAATAAATGACCTCGCTCTTCCCCCCCCCCCCCCCCCCCCCGAGGTGACCCGCAAGACTACGAGTAATTAAGTTCGAGGTATTCGAGTCAATTCTTGCAGGTCTGCTGTCCAACCTAGCAACTTGAGTGCAGCAAAACTAACTATGGCTTAAACATCCAGGTGACCCGACTACAGCATATTCAACTTTAGTCTAAAATAGGGGAAAGAAATCGCAGAACTTTCACAAAATAGACAACTCGATACGTTTCTTTTAACAGAAGCGAGTATTCTCACGTTTGAAACAATAACAAAAGACAAAGCGTCACACTAAATACCAAGGCTACTTTATTTCTACTATAGACAATTACACAATAGTATACGCGCGTATATAAAAGCTGTTAATATAATAAGGAATTGATAAAAATTTAACCACCATCACAACAGAATACGGTTTCAATTTGAGCAGAAGGGATGCAAGAGGGCAATAACCTCCAAAACCATATTCCTTTGCTGTTCACGAGTCAGTGAAGGCAACTCCTCTTTCACGATTCTAAGCGCCTGTTTAATGCGTTCCAAATGAACTCCTTCACCTAATTCATCCAAACTCTTTGGAGATGCACCCGACGAGTCCCGAAGTACTAACGAGTTCGCTTCTCCGTTAAGGCCTGCTACTACTTCACTGGCATCCATTGGTCTAGGTTGATCAGAGACCGTAGTAGAAGCCGCTTCTGGCTCCTAAAATAGAGAGAAGAGCACCAAAATACAATGAGAAGCCCTGGGGGTTTGATGTCCATCCGCGCACACCCATTTAGTAAAATGGTCAGACGCAGTGGTTAAGACTGGATCATAAGACCGGGAGTTCTGATGCAAATGAATTTCTCACCAGACTTCATCATATTCAGAGTGTTGATGAAACACGCCTTCTATTTCTGTATTATCATTAACTTAGGCCCGACCAAGCCTGAAAAACCAGTTACTATGAATCGGCTGCCCATGGCTTAGAGCAAGTGGCAGTAGAAACCACGTGGCATAGTAAAAAGCTCAAATCAGCCAGTTGTTGAATGAGCGATAAACATAAGGGAAGATGGACTAATAGAGAAGACAAGAAATAAAATAAATCATTACGATATAGAGCAGTGAGTACAAATTCCTATAAAGTGAAAATTATGTAAGAATAACACTGTTGAGAAGCTGATTCAAAAAAGCTAGAGACTGTACTATACCGATAGAAACAGGAATTAAGCAAAATCCGTCCATCAAGCTTTCTACGCGAAAGTCAAAAAAAGGACAACGCAAATTGACCTACACAAAATGCGAATCAGAAACGCTATCTACTCTGAGCTCCCCTTAACTGTGGAATACAGACATGAGCAATCATCTTACAAGCACCCCTTAAAATCATCCAAAACAAATTCGATGGAATTTTATAAGTAACAATTCAACATACTCTCTCCTCAATCGGAGTATCTGCTATGACACCGGGAATAGCGAGATCACCATTCTCTGTACATTCAACACTACTTGGAACCTCAATAGCATCTTCGGGAATATCTTGTGTCTCTTCGATCACTTCCACTAAATTCGAATTCTGATTTTCGTCGGTATTCGTTATCGTCGCCGCCATCCCTTGTGGTGGGGGAGACAGTTGAGTCCCTTCAACCACCTCAATGTCGACTGATGGTTTGGATGAAGAAGGAGCAGAAAAACTTGGAGGAGGACAGGTGGCACTAGTCAAAGCAACAGATGATGCTTTTTTGGTGGATGATGCTGGCATCGATCTGGACTCTTGGAAGGCGGAAAATCTCTTACGGGAGGCTGACATATTCCTCAAGAATGCTGAACCTTGTTGTCGAGTGTTAGGTCTGGAAATCAGACGCCTTGGAGAATCCGATTTACGCCTTCGACTTGCGGGGACAGATTTAGACGAAATTGATGGAAGGGAGGTAGATGGGGAATGTTCTTCAGGTTCACTAAAATTAGTTATGAAGAAACCAAAGGTCACAAAATGTGGGCTCCAAAAACAGCAGATACGAGATAGACATCTTCCGTTAGTTGAATTCGGTCGCATAAATAAGTGACAATAAGGCTCATTGAATAAGCCAGGAAGGTGGTAGAAAGTTAGTGAAGTTTGTTTTGCATTAAGGCACAACTTAACCTTGACCTACAACATCTATCTATTGTTCCCCTAACAAAATGCGTTCGGAAAATAACTCCCTCGATATACACAAGGACATTGAATTTCCATTCATCATACTTTTGATAGACTCTCTAACTGATAAGAATTAATGGGTGTATCTTTATATGCTCTGCCTTAACTCAATTTATTGTCCGTTAAGATTAAAAAAACGGAACCTCAAAGGCCTGTGTTAAGAAAAGCACAACTATCCGTCTAACTACCACCACCACCATCTCACTCTTTTCTCTCTATGACTTTAGGTGGATTGATGGGGGTAAAGAAACCGGATCTGAGATGGGACTCCTCAACCATCCAAGTATTTCTATTTAATAAATCCACTTCCACATTGTTCGATCGGGATATAGGTCGGTCCAATTTCTTGATGGTTATACTACTAGCAAATGATTATAGACATGGAGAACGAAAATAAACAATAGTCCTAGCTGAAAATGCTCCGATAAAAAATCCTATTAAACTACTTCAAAATCCACGGAGAGTAGGAGAGAGAAAGCATATATCAATCAGCTGGGCTGTGCATAGGAGGGTAAATGTTGAAGCCTATTCAAATTCAAATGCAGATGAAAAAGAAAGCATACCCCTGTATTTGAGTGAGAGGCGAGAGGAGTACTCTCGGGTATTCCGAGTTGTCCAAAACACCAGTCTCCACTTTCAATGGGGCTGTATTGCTTAGAGTTGGTTGGTTGGTTGATGATGATGCTGGCAACGCCGATTTAGTTGGAGTACGCAGCAATTCCTCATTGATTGGTGATTCGGGAGGCGAATCGTCAATCACAATGACAGTGGCTTGATCAGCAAATGATACATGCTTCACCTGATTAGACACGGATTCCCGCAAAATGCCTAAAAAATGGAGAAACGAGAAAGCGTAGGGAATAAATCGCGAACTTGTTACATGAGACATGGATTTCAAAAAAAAAACAATTCTTGTTAGTTAATGATGCAAAGTGGAAATTCCCATAGACAGCATAACAATTGTGCCACCTTCTAGAGTAGAAAGATGGAGGGGTGGGGGGGGGGGGGTTAACTGAGTAGAAGTTNGCGGGTTAACTGAGTAGAAGTTCAATGATTCCACACCAACAACATCAAGATAGTTGGGCACATCGTTTATATATGTTTTCCCCCTAAGCCTAAGATGGCAGAATGAAATCAGTTCAAACGTAGCCTACCTCGCATCAAAATTCTCACCTACTTTTGAGTAATTTTAAAAGATCAATAAGAGGAGGAGCAACTAACCCTTTAATCGGACTTCCTTCATGTCATCTAACAGAACGAATTAACATGGCAAAATTTATTTGGATTCACGCTAACGTTATTAAGAAAAGAACCAACCACAGCAAGTGAACAGCGTTGAGAGTAGGGTTGATTTGTATTGTGACTACAATTCATAGTAAGTAACAAGAAAGTAGACTAATCTAAGTTGCCATGATCAATACGAAGTTCTGGTTGAAGCATAATATAATCATTTTAGCTATGCTCATAACTACTGGTCTCATTTGCATCTGTCATCTGTCAATGGTACCCCACTCCGGTAAGCAGAATTCGAATCATGAAATTTGAACCTTCCTGCATCGCAACAATACACACGTTATGTGAAAAGTTAAAAAATCCTTACACATGAAGCAAAAAAGTCGTTTGATGCCTCGGCTTTATTTCGTACCTCAAATCGATACTCTTCAGGATTGAAATAAATTTCTGCTACCCATAACTAAGACTTGCAATCTTGCTCAACCAAGAACAAAATTACTGCAACGATGGGCTTTACACCGAAACTATCCTAGACAACGACCCTTGAATTTGGCGAATTCGTAATAAACACGCACATTTTATACCAACCAGGTAGAATTATGTTAAGCTATAAAAAAGGTAGGAAAAGCAAACCGTGGGAAGGACTAACCAGATCGTGGAGGAGAGACAAAAGATCCGATAGCAGACAGTGGAGGCGGAGTGGCAGTAGGTTGAGGCTTTTCGTCATTCATTGAAGCGAGTTGGGCCATCCTTAGCTTTTGTTTCCTCTCTATTTCCGCCCGACTGTTTTCCAGAATCTTCAGAGTTCTAGAGTTGCGTAATCCTAAAGCAAAATTGAGATAAAACACCGTTAAGCACCTCAAGTTTTCCTGTCAAGGGAAAGGCTTTCAAACAACAACAACAACAGCAATATTGGACAAAAGGAAGACATTATGTAGCCTCTGCTGAACACCCTTGAGAAGGTCATTCTGTTACTCTTCTCCTGGCTAGTGTGGACACTGACCTCCTTCAATGGTTACACACCAATAAGTAACGGGCTCTCAGTGCTAGACGCTTAGGTATAAGTTGAAAGAGAGAGGGAGGGAGTATTTCCCCTACCTGGGCTTCTAAGTAGCGGTAGTTGAGGTGACATCATGGGAGAAGCCGTTAGCATGGGACTTGCAGGGCTTGGCGAGGCAGGCATATCCAGTAGTCGAACTTTCTTAATAGAATTTGGGTTGGTGATATCACTGTCAGGCAACAGCTTGGATTGTATTATAACCCTCTTTCTGGTCGGCGTCTTATTGGTTTGAGCCAAGGTTGAACTAACGGGCGTTTCTTCTAAACACACAAAGCCGGGCATTAGTAATGCAATTTAAGAACAAAATGTTGTCCTAAAGTAGTTGCGAGGTACCTTCAAATCCGGAATTGGCTTCTTCATTAGTTGCATCTGGAAGTGTGGAATTGGGGGTTTTTGATCGAGACTCGTTTTGCTGCCCACTGATGCTAAAAAATGCGGTTCATTATAAATTGGGAACAACTCACTTAGAAGTGCTCGCTTTTGATTGAGTTGGGGTTTGTGGTTGGGACTGCGCCAAAGTAGGGGCAGTACTATCGAACGGGGGACGAGAGTTGGAGTCCATTGAAGACTGACTGTCGGAGGGATAGAGAGCCCATATAGCATCGTTGCTATCACGGTCAAGACTATTGAACATTGGAGGAATGTAGGCTTGTCTAAAAGCAAAACCGAAAGACTGATAGTTACAGATTCCAATCGGTTGAGTGGTTGGGGAATAAATGATGATAAGGGAGGTAATAGTAAAATCTAATTGGCTAAACTCTTCCTCAAGTTATCCATACAGCTAAAAGTTCACATGAACCTCAAAACGTGACCTAATGGAGTAATTTAAAGCTGATCGCAGGTTTTTGTAGACCAGGACAGTAGTAAGGACAACATGGTTTTAAACAGAGACAAATTGAACTTGGTAAGCCATTAATTATAGATTAATTCCATCCGACTTAAAGCGCAAAAAAGGGCATGAATTAGTCACTTAAGATTAATGAATTCTACAAGCCGGAAATTTAACAAGCACCGCACAAAGCAGCCAAATTGATTGAGAGAAAGGATTAACAAACACAATAGAAAGCACTTTATTTACTTGCATGTTATTTATAATTCCAAAATTTTTCCCCCCATAAACTGAAATAGTTAAATCAAATGAAGACATAGATGTCACGAATTACCTTTGTTCTCGCATTCGTTCCTTCTGATGCTCCGTAAGGCGCATTCGCTTAGCACCAGGCGTAGCCTTTGGAGGTATAAACACGAACTAAACAAAAAATTGCATTCAGGATTCATGAAGATAACTTAACTATCAAAATACAACCGTAATAGCGTACATCACTAGAATCCTCAAAATCAATCATATTAGTTGACGGTCCATCCACAGTGGCCTTCCGTTTTCTGCCACGAACTGGTGTGGTTTCGATGACTTTTCTAGTTGTGCCAGCAGCAGCAACAGGGGATGATGGCAAAATATTCGTTGCACCCAAATTTTGGTCCAACCGAGATGGGGATTTCACGTTCCCAGGAGGTGTCCTAGCTATGGGTGAGCTTGGAGTTTCAGGACTTGCAGAAGGTGAATAAACAAATCTCGATCCAAATGGGACAACACCTATTTTATAACAAAGATGATAAACAACAACAAGGAGTTGGAATGATGTCACCAAGATATTAAAATGAAAACACTAAGACTGCAACTTACGGCTCTGATCTTGTAAGCTCGAATCAGTGAGAGAAAGACGTCTACGGTAAGATTTAGGGAGTTTCTTAGAGGGAAGGGAGGACCTACGAGTGCTTATTGGCAAGCCATATTTCAGGGAGGGACCCGCAAATACCTGGGAGAAAGAAAAGCCTTTGTGAGGGGCAAAAACGGAAAGTATATTAAATAGGGAATAATATTTTGGGTCTCTATGTAAATAAGAAGAGCATTGACTAGTCGTTTACGGAATTCCACTTTTTATCAATTATTTTTACCTACAAAGAGGTAATTTATTTATTAATATTTATACTAGTGAATATCAATTGCTCTAACACCCTCAATATAGTTTCGAGAAGATAGAAGCATACAATAGCTCGTGCCAAATTAAAAATTAGGTTGGCAACTAAGTCATTGCCGATTTCAAATAAGAAGGCAAATTCGGAATTTTTGTTTAAAAATATAACTTTATTCAATTAGATATTGGCCGTTCTTGTCGATGACCTTTTTCCATCGTTCTGGCAGAGTAAAAATTCCCCGTTCGTAAAATGTCTGGTCTTTGCTATTAAAAAACTGAATTAGGTGTGATCCGGCATCATCCGCGTTGTTAAAAATTTTACCATTTAAAGAGTTTCGCATGGAACGAAACAAATGGTAATCCGAAGGCGCAAGGTCAGGGCTATATGGTGGGTGTGACGAAACACCCCAACCCAGTTCCAATAATTTTTGCCGAGTAACCAAAGATGTGTGGAGCCTTGCGTTATCATGATGGAAAACAACACCCTTCCGCCGATTTGATAATGCCGGCCGCTTATCTTCAATTGCATCCTTCTTCCAGTTTTTCGAGTTCTTCAACATACACATTTGAACTTATCGTTTGGTTCTGCGGCATGAGTTCAAAATACAAAATTCCTTTGTGATCCCACCGGACTGACAGCATAATCTTTTTTGATGAATCTCTGCTGCTTTTGATACTGTTTGGGCTGGTTGATCTTGCTTCACCCATGGTCTCTTGCGAGTAACATTCTTATAAACTATCCACTTTTCGTCGCCAGTAACTAGGTTCTTCCTCGGAAATGGATCATTCTCATTGCGTTTCAGTAGCGGCGAATCACAGATGCTAATCCGTTGCGTCAAATGAATTTCCTTTAACTGGTGAGGGATCCATAAATCAAGTTTCTTGACATAACCAAGGGCTTTTCATTTATTTTCAATGCATGTATGCGACACATTGAGCTTCTCTGCAATATCTCGTGTTGTGCTGTGACGATTTGAATCGATAATGGCCTTGATATGGGTTTCATCCACTTCGACTGGGCGGCCAGATCGTTGTGAATTTTTCAGTGAAAAATCACCGGAACGAAATCTTTCAAACCAATTTCGACACTGCCCTTCTTTTAAGGCTTCATCTCCATATACGGCACATAACTTCTTTTGTGCTTGCGATGCCTTCTTGCCTTTTCGGAAGTAATACAATAAAATGTGTCGGAAGTGCACGTCCTGTTCTTTCATTTTTAAATTGGGATAAAAACAAAACTAAAGAACTAAACAAAAAAAGTTTTTACTAATTAACCTAGAAGCCCATACAGTAAGAAAAAAATATAGGTTAGATGCTCTGGCCACGTTAACAAAACAAAAGAAAGTATAGAGTGAATCTGTCAACAAAAACGGCAATGAATTAGTTGCCAACCCAATATACTGAGAAAGACATTTGAATGTTCTATTAAATTAGTCGCGCGAGATTATCCATCGAACGTGTTAGCATATTAACTGATAAATATCATCTCCTAGGACGCAGATATTGAACAATTATTAATGCTTCACACATTCTACAAACATCTCAGGCACCAATCTCAAATGATTTGGTAAAGGATTCTGGTCCAATTAACTGTAATAGGTGTCACACACACACACAACGCTGTAGTTACTTGGATCCATAAAGTAATTGCGAGTCCAGGTCCAGAGAACGTGCATAGAAATGATCATTCATACACGCATTAACGCCGGTTAAACAAGATGCGGTAAATAAAAAAAAAGTGAGGACTCAGAGTGCCTTTTCCCAGTACAATAATAGAGTTTAAGTGCTTTTTTTTAAATACCAACTTCACTCTCGCATTTTCATCGCCAATTCAGAGAACGATGACGACTATCTGCGCACATCCACAGTGATAATATTTGCATTGCTCAAACCTGACTAACACAAAGAGAGTGACGGGAAAAAAGAAACAAACTTCTATACTCAAATTAAATGTTCACGACACCTCACAAGAAGCATAAGTAATGATCAATATGATAGGCACCAACCAATGACCAAAGCGTCAATTTGTTTACAGAAAATAAACTCAAATTTATTTCCATGGAGGCATTAGAAAGCAACCTGAAAGTTGTACGAAATTAGTATTACCATAGAAAATACCATAATATGTAGATGTATACCTGATTGGTCTCGGAAATATCATCAAAATTAATCAAACACGGATGTGTGATTCTATCAGCTTCCAGAGGAAGTAAGTTCTCCAGGTTGTCACTTCTGCGACTTGGAACCTGCTCTACCCGAGTAATCAATTTTTCACAAGGAATCCAGGAGGGGAAATTCGAGCGACTATGGAGGGAAATTTGAGGCGCTGAACGTGAGGCGAGGCAGGCGGAAAACTTAATGGTAACATCGATGATTCGATTTCGAATTTCGGTATCCTTGGAGTCCAGAGAAGTCACCAGGGTATCCCATATGGTCGCCAAACAGTAGATAAACACTTTATGTTGTCGAGAGACATCTACCGCTAAAATGGCAAATCGTGGAAGGTTTATTAATAACTTGCAGAAAAATATCCACAGATTTGATTTTATCAAGATTCAGGACATTTGAGCACAATCAAACCATATGATCCGCCAGTTTAAACAAGAAGGGCTATCACAAACTAGGCCAGAAAATATTAATTTGTGACACTGAAATCTTAAAAACAAACTATTCATCCCCGCCTGACAATATTCGCCATGATCAGAAGTTTACCCATTGATCCAAAACAATCAATAATAATAATAGGGTAAAAGAAATTTTAAAGTTGAAAATTTTCATATTAATCTTCCCTGAATTAGTACACGAGGACTCCATTATCACGATAATTGGCAGAAGACATTTGTTTGTGAGGAAGAAAACCAAACGATTTTCTTAGATGCAAAGGCAAAACAGAAAGGATATACAACGAACCTACAAATGTGCTGGGGATTAAAAAGACAAAAATAACTCTTCTAATGACAAGTAGAAGATTATGCTACGACACAAGATGAGAGCTCCCGTTATTGGCTCGAGATAGTTGCACTTCCACCGACTCCAAATCAAAAGACAGTGGAAGTATTTGTGAAAAAGGATTGGGGTTTAAGGGTCATTTTTTCCATACTTTCAACTCATAAACAAGACAGTTCCTTGGGCATATTCCATGGGCAACATTTTGGACAGAATGCAATCTTCTTAACAATTAGGGAGACCAGAGAACAATATCAGTGACGCATTAAAAGTACTTCCAATCGCATTCGCTATTCAGTTACATTCAAAATCGACGTCCACAAAAAGAAAAAGGAAATTAAGTTAAGGTACTTAAAGGTTCGGCACAGTTCCACAAAAGTAGTTCAAGTATCACTAAGCCCAATAACAACAACAAATTATAGAAAATAAAACAAGGGGTATACTTACTGCAATCAGCTGACTCGTCTTGAAGAAATGCCACAGACGTCATGATGGCCCTTTTCAAAGTCATTCCAAGTCTATAAATCACCCTTGAAATTTGACAGGAAGCTAAAAGCACAGCAGCCTCAAAGAAGACCAGGAGATGCTCGGCACTCGCCTGAGGTAGAACTAGGGGATCCAGTTCAAGCGTCTTCAGCGTTTGCGTCACATCCGCTACGCAGGGCTTGTTATGATTCTTCAATATCCAATTGCATATAGCCGTCACAAATGCTTCATACTGCAGAAACCACATTAAAAATTATGCCAAAACAAAAGAAGTCTCATTTCTCATTTAATCAAACTTACTGCCGAGACAATCATAGCAAGAGGTTCATCAATAGTGTTGGCTGTTGGTCTAATCAACTCTAGGCGTTTCGATAGGCCAAGGAGGCTAGAAGAACATCGACCAATGAGAATAAAAATATTCTCCTTTGCAGATTTATTCCTCTAAATGATAAAAGGATAAGGAGAGGATTAATTAAATTGTTAATGTCATCATAAAACAGTTTGCTTATTTAAAATAAGCAGTGAACTAATTGGAAAATGCTTAAAAATCATATTTGAAGGAGAACTTTGATTACATCCTCCTCAGTTCAATTGACTATATATACACGACGCACTAAGACTTTTGAGAGGGACATGGGGGAGGGGAGTGATATTCTTAATAATTAGAACAGGGATTGGTGAACCAGTAAACGATTTTCAAGCCCATTCAAAAAAGCATTTCCCAACACTCATCTTCTGCAACAACATAGCCGACTGGCCCAAAATCGAGGCTGCTGCAGAGCTTAGACTGCGTAGCGAACACAATTGCCTCCAGAGATTAAGAGAATACACTCAACCAGCAAGTCCCTTATGTGACCTACAGGAGGGAATGGAGAAAACCCACCTGATTCGATGTCCAGCCCCAACAGCGACGGAAACCCAGAAGTCAACTAATTGGCTAATATTAACTACCCTAAAAAAGCCTATACTTATGTCCCTCCCCCCCCCCCCTTGTGATAGCCGAAGTCAACTAAGGGGATAATGATATCATAAAGCCTGCCATTTAATACAATAATGATCTTGTGCAGATGGGTAGCATCATAGAACCTTGCTGGTGAAAGCTCGAATTCGGTCAGGCCTCTTTATTGGCCAAAGTTAATTACGCTTGGTCATTCCGTTCACAGAGTTTTACCAATGAGCGCCTAACCTATAACTTCTGCCTTCGCGGGCGAATAGGTGAGCCACTACACCAGCTGCGAACTTTCCAAAATGCAATAACTTTAGCGCCTTCCTCGCCCATTTTCGCATAATTTTACAGATTCAAAATTTTCCATTACTACTAATAAGTAAATAGTAGTAAATATCCGATGGTATCGACGCACCCTTAAAATTAGCCATAGAGCAAGCAGGAGATTGCGAGTGACCGACTGGGGAGATTTTGGTGACTGTTGATGAATTTGATTGAATTCGATAAAAACCTTTTCAAAGACGCTGGACGGTGAAAGAGAATGACTTAGGGCGGTATGCATGGTAAGGGGTGACCGAGATCGAACCTCCTGTTCTTGGGAGGAAAATGACACAACTGAGTTTGAAATGGACACCTAAGAAGACGAGATGAAAAAAAAACAACCGTTAATTTAATGACCAACAACTATGAAAGCTAGATTAATGGGAACAAAATAAACCTCATTATGTTCCAGAGGCATGAAGGTAAGACAGTATGATATGGCTTCTACGGGTCCTAGCATGTAGTCTAGTAGCCGCCCCTTTTCAAGCTTCCATTGGGAGGGAGTCACGGTTGACTCGTCTAGAAAGGGAAAAAGAAAAAACAACCTTAATAGGCAGATTTGAGCATGCCATTAATCTTTAATCAAACTAGAAACCAAGAGCAAGATTTACCTTTCAGCGCAAAATCTGTGAAGAAGTTTTAATTTAGCAGGTGTTTCATCTACTTGATCAATCGGAAAATACATATGATTATATATATATATTATAAAAACCAAGAATTATTCATTATACAAATTTTGAAGGTAAAAGAGCTGTGAGGGAAGAAAGTAGGACCCCGAAGTATCTTAACAAAAATAAATTTGGTGAAGAGGTAGCCCCATCACCACTACAGGAGTTCAAAAAAAAACAAATCAGCACCAAAACAGCGAACAAAGTTCTCGCACTCTATATAATACCCTATCCTTTTGCCTGAAAGGGTAGTATTGAAAATCAGGCGTCTTCATTCGCATCAAAGTTTGCTCTCAGCTAGTTCGGATTAGATAGCAAATACGCAATTCGAGATAAAGAAGAGAAAAGTGCAATGCTTGGCAAACTAAGAAATCTCAAGTGCAAAATGTAGCGAACTCAGCTGCAATGTCTGAGATAGATATACACACACACACACACAGTGGGTGTAATGCCAACCATACTGGAGGAAAGTGGCAGAATACGAGTCCCTCTCACGTTGGAGAGGATCCAGTACAACCAATTATATATATCGACTTGTCATAGGATTATAACCATATTAAATCATTACAAAAATTCCCTGATATAAGTAGTGAAGATCCTAACAGAATATTATCCACAGTCGTGTGTGTGTGTTGAAAGGTTATACGTACATTGTCCGAGGATTATTGTCGACCAGGAACAATAAGACCAAAATTCGACTGATACGTAGAATGATCGCTACTAGTGTCATCTATTGATTACTACGCCTAGTATTTCAATTTACGCATCATACAAGCATTAATATACCCGTCAAAACATACCATGGATAATATCCTCGGAAATATCTGCCGATTCAGCCATAAAGACGAGAAAGTTGGCAATAATACGAAGATTCAGTGTCTGCTTCACCTCCTCCTCATTGCCTAGAGATTGCATGAGAGCGAGGATGATTAAACTCAGCCTATTGATGGTCGAATTGACAGAGAGGCCGGTAAGAGAGGTAGCTTCTTGACGAAATGCTCGAAAGAGATTAAACATCCTTCTCAGCGCCTGGCACTCTACGCTTGGCTGAAAAGGAACAAACCCCTCTATAGAGTATCAGAAAATTGATAGTAAAGCACCCGAGGGGTTATAGAAACGTGTGTAAAAACCCACCGATGGGGATTTTTTCGTGTTTCCAGCTAGAAAGATGGGAGCTAGTAGGAAGGAGAGGAGGGTGGTTAAGTTTGGACCTTCGTTTGGATCAGTTGGAGAGCTATCGGTTAGTTTTTCATGTTGAAAAACAAGTTTGATGAAGCAATCCACCATTACCGACCAGACAGATAAGCCCACTTCATTTACCATGGTCGTATGAACCGCTATTCTGGGACCTAATAGCGTAGAAAATATCGATGAGTAAATGAAGGTAGCATAAATTGAACGTAAAAATATTACTTACGAGGGAGAGAAAAGTCCTTCAAATCTTTGGGCAATTGGCTGACAAAGGCGACGCAGTCTGAACACAGAGCACTGATATAGCTACGAAGAAGGGCTACGCGATCTATTCCATCGCCTCTGGCAGATGACAACCGACTGTCCTTGTTGAATAAATCAATCACCGCTTCCCCGAGACCATTGATGGTGCTGTAAGGACACAACGATTTATAAAGTTGCCAAAGGAACACGCACTCAAAGGTACGTTTTGAAACTACAAATACTAAATAGAACTCAGAATCAACCTAATTTGTCCAATTCATTTGTTTCAGTCATTTACCTTATGCTCAGCTCTCCTTTACTTATGACACATTCTCCTCTCCACAATTTCAGCGTACTAGGTTGAAAACATATAGGATCTCTCCCCCCCCCTTCCCCGGAGATAGAAGTATTCCGTACTCATCATATCTTATATTGAAGTTTGCAGATTAGGCAGATTTCGCTGTCTCCTCAAAGGAATATGAGTTAAATTCGATTCTGAATTCTTCTAAATCACCCCCCCCCCCCAGACGAAATCATACTATAGCATAACGGAACAGCTATTTATGAATGTAGGACTACATCGACAGAAGCTCGAAATTTAGGACAAACACCCCAAAACTGAACCATCCATGTCATGATCGTATACATTTGAAGGTAAGTTCAAATGATTATCTTAAGGCATCGAAAAATGATATTGAAAAGGGGTTGAAAACTTACTCTTGTATTGATTCATCAATAGGGTCGGAGGAGTTGCGTTGCATAGAGTAAGTCGAAATGAGCTCAAGAGCTGCATGGCACAGACTGGAGAAAAGTGGCGACTTCAAATCTTCAGACATGCATTCATTAGTCACTATGTCGTAGACGACATTAAATATTGCCTAAAATAGCGAAAAAGGAGGAGACTAGATGGTGGTGGTGGGGGGGGGGGGGGGTACTTGGAGAACAACTTTCATAAACTGCATTTTACAATAAATTTCCACACAAGTGCTTCACCTAAGTTTCATCAAAAGCCTCCAAATTGACGTAATTTACAACTTTGGTAGACGTGTGGGCATGAGAGCAAGTAGTCTCTCAATAAAGACTACTAAACAGTCAAGTTTGGATACAGCAAACATGGACTACCACACACAAAAACAAAACAATCTGCTCAATTTAGAACTCAAGCATTCCGGTGAAGAATAGAGGAAATGAGTTCCGAGATTTGGGCTTTGAATACCAAGTCTACGAGCGCAAAAACACATGAAGATGAAAAAACATATTCAGCCAGAAGTCAGCAGATGAAAAGCTATTTTCATCTTTCCTCCATCTAGAAGAACTGCCTTACTGTTCCTCCTGTTTAGATGCCTTCCACGATTTTCATAGAACCCTCAATATCATATTCACTTATCCCCACGTGGTGCACCCTGGGCAACGGTATACTTATATAAACTGGCAGCTGATTTCTCACTTCAAACTACCACGACACGACTGTATGCCATATTCCACCACTTTCACATTACTCACCTTACCTTACCTTATACCCTACCTTTATGCCTGTCTCTTTAACATCGGTGAATTACTCTTCCATTCCCCCCCCCCTCTGGACTTTTTGTGACTTTGTCTGTTCCTTATATCTGTGAAGCCCGAAGTCAACTAAATGGTTAATGATAACTATCATAAAGCCTGCCATTTGATATAAATAAATATTCACTTCGTTTCTCCACTTTTTGTTCAATAAAGAACCCCCAAATACCCAGTTTAGTGGCGTTATTATTGAAGCTTATCCTCCATAAACTCTTTGCCCTTTCAAATTCATCTAAAATAGCACCATTCTGGTATCTTGGCCACCTAGAAGAGACAAATATGCATCGCTAACATAGACCAACTAGCGATTCGTCAACGCCAAAGACGAGATTAGTATCACAATCACTATTTAAAAACTGGGGAGGGGGGGGGGAAGGGGGGGGGGAACGTATCCTGCTGCAATACAAGTAATTTTCACCCACTCGCCTTAAAGGCTGAGCTCCAACTAAACACTGGCAAAAAACCTCAAAAAAGGCGAATTATTAAGAACAGTTGCAACTAGAGCTAATGGAGAAATTGGAAAAGCTCCCAATATCATCCGAATCTTTGGTGCATGGCTATTAGTTCGAACGAATATGGTAAATGGTTATGCGAAATGTAATTGCCTCTAAAGGGTTAATTTATCAGTCACCATGCAAATACGCTAAATTTCGAGTCGAAAAACCCAGTGACTACGCAGTTCAAATGGCATGAATGTTGGTTAAAAGCAAGCCCCTCACCAAAGGGAGGAGAAAGGTACAAGTTGAACTCTTACCATGCAATCACTTGGTTTGGGGTTAGAGGAGATATCATTCGAAGGAATTTTAATTACATTATTGGGACTTCTAATGTGCAGGCTGTGAGGCGAGAGGAGTTTAATCGATAGTTTAACAACACACTGCGATAGAAACTCCTCCATTATCACGCTGTTATTGGACTTGGTGGAGGCGCTTTTAATGTGATGAAGACACTTGGACCAAATTGCACTGGGTGTCTGATCGCCTACCAAGTTGCCAACACCACAGAGATATCGCAAATAGTGCAACAAGGCTACCAATAGGGTATAGCCCTTTTCAGCCAAGAACTCTGTTGAGAGAGTTAACTTAGGCACTTTGGGGAGAAAAAAGGGCACGATTAGCAATGACAATCGAAATGGTGATTTAAAGATAGTTAAAATATACTTACATGGCTCTCCTTCGAATTCCGATAAAGGGCATAACTGTGGGTAGTCGAAAAAGCAAGAGAAAACGTGGGCTGCTAGATTTTGTGCCGCAGAAGAATTATTGTAGACAGATGCAGAACTGAGTATATACTTGGTAGTAGCGCCTAGCATTTAATCAAACACGCATTTTGTAAGAGAAGGGAGAAGGGAAAGAAGGGGAAAGGAGAAAGAGGAGGAAATAACACAAACGTAAACTCACGATTCCCAAGACATTCGTTCGCGCTCATGTAGCGACCAATTAGATTTGCCAGGAACGGTGTCATATACTAAAATATTAAAAACCAAACTTAAACTGTTAGAGAAATTCAAGGCCTTTGATATTTCTCGAAGCTAAATAATCATTCTAGAGGAATATAAAAGAAGACCTGGACACCAAATAACACACCATGGCCATTAGAAGAGGAGATAGACAGGAGCGGCTCAGGTAAGAAACTCCCAACCTACCATAACTCAATTACCGACATTAACCACTAGATTAGTCATCTGTATGGATTAGATACAGGTGAGCACCAATCACGTGCCCGCTGAGTTGGCAAGTGTGGCACCCAGACTGCCAAGACACTGGGGCCCAATTAGAAACAGATTAATACTTATTACTCCTTCTGTATTATCTTTGGTTATTCTGAGTTATAAAAAATGTTACCGCATTTCAATTGGGCGAAAAGGACTCAACGTTTAAGGCTATTAAAAACACACACACACAGAAGGAAAAAAAAGAAATTGGTAAAGTCAGGTCAAACGTTTGCCAATAAGCTTATTTTCTTGGTAATACGCTATATGGATGTGGGTATAGAAGATAGCGCTCAACAGAACAGAATAAGTTGACTATTTTTGGAAAAAAACTATCTAACACAGCTGCGATAGTGAAAAGTCAAAAGAGGACAATTATCATGAAAATAATTATCACCAATTATACATGACTGACAGTGTTTGAACCATGGAATTCAAAAATTTATCAGCCAATATAGTGAAGAGTGGGAGTGCGATGCTTTTCTCCACGTGATGCACACTGGAATAAGTAAATTCATACGACAAAAAGTTATATAAACTGGCAATTGACTTCAAACTACCACGATCCGATTATATGTCATATTCCACCACTTTCACAGCACTCACCTCACCCTTTCCTCTACCCCTGTATCTGCCTCTTATACGTCGGTGAATCACTCCTCTGTTCTCCCCCCCCCCTCGACTTGTTGTGACCTTAGCGTTTGCCATCTCTATGTCTCCAAGTGCAATAAATGGGAAACTCCCATCTCACCACCCCTTTATTGACTACATCAACCACTGTGAGGTTTATCATTCTCAAGTTGAGACAACTGAACTTGAATTTGCCAACGTTTACAGTGTAGACGCGTACATAAACTCCAAATTGAGCACAAATAGTTTATGGGATCACGGGAAATAAGCATATTGCCAACATAAACTATTTAAGAATGCAAAAAAGTAAGCGAAAAATTATTAAGAGCAAATAAGAAGGCAAACCCACTTTGTTAGAACCACTAAAGAGAATGTTCGCAGGAAGGAAGCACAGGAATGTCCACCATGTATACAGACGACGTACGGAATGAGTTTCATTGATAGGCAGAACGCGAAGAGGATCGAAGAGACTTAAGTATTTCTCTGGAGTCATTAAATCAGAAACGCTTTCTAGATTAAGGAAGAGGAAGAAGTTATTTTGTGCAGTAGGGTTGCAAAATCCCCACTGTAAATCACTACCCCCAAAGTTCATCGTTTATTTATCCCAGTTAACCAGCAATCCGTTCATGCATACTCCTCAATTTGAAAGTTACGAAAATGATATTCGTGTTCTATGCTTGCATAAGTGGGGTGTGCGATAGACTTACCTCCACGTGGTGCACCCTGGGCAATGCATACTCATACGGCAAAAAAGTCTATTACCTGGTAGTTGACTTCTGACTTTAAACTACGATCACCCCACTGTATGTCATATTCTACCACTTCCGCAGTACTCACCTCACCTTTTTCTACCTTCGCCTTTGAAACATTTCTGTTCCCCCCACCCCCAATCTCGACTTTTTGTCACTTTGATGTTCCTCCTCCCCTCTGTGAAGCCTGAAGTCGACTAAAGGGCTAAAGGTAACCATCAAAACGCTTACCATTTGCTAAAGGGCTAATGATAACTATCAAAACGCCTGCCGTTTAAGACTAAAGGGCTAAAGGTAACCATCAAAACGCTTACCATTTGATATAAATGTTTGCATAAGTATCTTCAAGGCATGCTATATCTACTTTGTGCGTGCATGTATGCATAAACAACTCGGGGCGTAGTAATTCCTCAATCGATCTCTAGCATCCAGTACAATTAGTAATAACAATCACTGGTTATACATAATTCAACTATATAATTCAGAGAGAATAGTTAACATACCATCGGACTGTAATCGTTTAATCAAATCCGAGTAGAGAGAGAACATTTTCGTCAGGTTTTTGCCATCATCCCTAGTCACAGCAGTAGAGATAGTCAAATTTTCAATCATGAATCGAATGTAAGTGTCAAAAACGGAGTCGAATATAAAAACCTATGGTAAAAATGTAATTAGACAAACTATAATGCTAAGTGAAAAAACCTTGGGACAATTCTTGGTACAGTATCGCAAAATGTTAATAGCAAAATCCATTTCAGGCTTGAAGCTTCTCATGGCAAACAACACAATGGCCTAAATAGAGTAAAATTAAATTTTACTTGAATGTCCTACTGGGAATTCTTCCGACAACTCCTTGAAAACCTCTGGACCACTATGACAAGCAGATTCCAGTAAACAATCGATAGCCTTCAAAAGTGGTTGAGGTTCGTTATTACAAACAGGAATAAAGGTTTTAACAGACTTGAGAAGCGTAACCAAATCAGATGGCTTCGATTTGCTACCAGAACACGCTCTTATAAGTCTGAAAAAGCAGAAAAAGCACAATTAAATAAAAAGAAGAGGATTATCTGTTAAATACAATATTGACCTACTCGGTGACAAAATTGAACAAATATTTATTGATAGTGACATCTGATGCCAATGTTTCCGAAATAATTTCAAGCAAACTTGGCTTAGCAAAGGCGGAAATCTGCAAAACGTTAATTGAAAAATACAAAAGATGCTTACAATAATAGAGGGATTGGATATGGACGCGGATTCAATCTTACACAGAAGATTTCCAATGCATTCGACGGAAAAGTCAATATTTCTCAACCTACTCATGCAATCTAAAACATCCACAGTGAATGCGTTCACCTTTTTGCGAAATTGAAAAGGCCTGAAATAACTAATTATAGTAAAGGAACATTACTTTAATCTTGAAATTTCTGCTGAAATTCTGATTGCGCGCATGCAATCATCAAGGGAACCGTTTAAGAGACATGATTGAATTCCAACGCCTTCCTTCCATAAGGCGTCGTTCATGAACTTGTCAGAACATCGGTTTATATTTAATAATTTTCTACAGTATAGGGTTTAATGGTGCTTACTTTTCTATTCCTTCCAAATAGGAGGTATAATTAAATATGCTGTGAGTATTAGTCCTATGTTTCCGCTAAAAAATAAAGGCAAAATAAGATTACAGAATATATGTACGTCATTTTGCTTAACGACAAAATTGATTTATTTGACGTACCATTGATAAACACAAAAAATGAGAAACCTTCAAGCTTCAACCAATCACCATATAGGTGACGTAACTTTTTAACTTTTGTACACAGCGCATAAAACCACAAGTTTTACACATGGCCCAGACAAACCCAACGTAATTAATAATAAAAAATATTCATAAGAGTTACTTTTCATAAGTATATGGCTTAGTATACATATAAAAATTGTATGGCACAAACAACATTTATTTTTTAAGTATATTATTGAACTTTCATAGTAAATCTTCCTTCCTATGATTAAAGTGAATTTTGTTAATAATAATAAATAGTTAAAACATTTTTCTGATTTGATATAATTTATTCCTTATTCCGCTTTTCTTTTGTAAGTTTATCTATTTCTTTTTATTCTATATACCACTTGACACCTATTGTTGTCGAATATATGGGATCTCTGTCTAATAACAAAAAGAGAATAAAAAAATTTATAGAAACTTCGAATCTTTTATTAACGTTCTCTGTGAAATATGCTATACTACATGCGCTTATTGCAAAGGAGCTGGATGTGCGATAGACTTGCCTCCACGTAGTGCATCCTGGGCAACGTATACTCATACGGCAAAAAGTCCTTAAACTGGCAGTTGACTTCTAACTTCAATCTGCCATCACCCCACTGTATTTCATATTCGACTACTTCCACGACACCCACCTCACCTTTTTTCTACCTTTGCTACCTTCGTCTTTGAAACACTCTTCTTCCCCCCCCCCCCCTCTCGACTTTATTTACTTTGATTTTGCTTCCCTCTGTGAAGCCCGAAGTCAACTAAATGGGCTAATGATAACCATCAAAATGCCTGCCATTTGATATAATAATAATTGTAAAGGAACAGATTTAATTTCTGATAACATATATATATATATATATATATATATATATATATATATATATATATATATATATATATCATAACGATAAATCCTTGTCAGCAACATTTCACCTCATGTTGTTTGCTATATAAAATGACCCTGATGACGGTACTTGTTAGATATTTCACGAACTCTTCTATCAACATAAGGATCGGATTCATTCGTCCATTGTCTCAAACAAAGCAAAGTCATATTTGGTTTCATTAGTCTTTTAACTCTGATGTCACTATTAACGCATACGAATACAAGTTTATTACTTTGGATGCATAGAATGGCTTTTCAAAAGCCATCGTAAATGATAGTTGACAACAAACCACAAAACAGAAAATAGTTAATCCTCATGTTTTTTAGGCACTAAGCTTTAATCAAAGTAACAATCCATTTAGATGCTTCATATTGTTCAGATATGACCTTACCATATAGAATTCTAAATAAATATTTCCTTGTGCTTTGTCATGCTGAAATAAACAGAATAAATTTTGAAACATTGATTGGTCTATAGGAAAAAAAGAAGGCAAAAATGAGGAAATTGACCCAAGTTTAATAAAGTGTTTATTGGTTACGATATTCATTAAAAAAGAAGTATTGAATCTTTAACAACGAACCTTTTCCTAAGGAAAACATTTATCTTTGAGATTGACAAATGAGCACGGAGTTATGCACTAATTGAACTGAAAGGGATGTGCAGTCATGGTAAGTTGTACAATATCTAATCCGAATATGCCCTTAAAAATTAAACCTAGAATGACTGTAATATCACATCAGTTCGACTGAAATCAGATTAGGCTAGCTATAGCAAAATGATGATAGCAAGATTTAATAGAAAGGGTAAGTCATCCATTTTGACCCCCCCCCCCCTCCACAAGATGAGTGAGATGCTTATTCTGTGGATTAATTCAAGATGTCACTTGTTCAAGCATGACTTAGCATCCGCAAGAATTTAAATCCTGTCATTAAGTGCCTAAACCGTCTTCTCAAAATAAATCAAAAGAAAAATAACATGACGCAGAAATTAAATCGACGCTTTTTTGTACTCTCCGTGGAAATACCGTTTCGCTCAAGTGACTTCTAGCTTCTAATATTTACTCCTGAGTTTTATGCTAGAAGTTTCCGAAGGAAATCTTCTTACCATAATTTTACATACTTCGATGATATCTTCAGTCACTGAGTACCTTATCAAGGGTGCTTTAAGGAAAGAAGAGAAAAATGACCTAATATTTTTCTGAACTGTAGTGGTAAAGCAGTAAATATTTCATTTTTCAAGAAATATAATTAAAATTAAGCATTCTTTTTTCTTATGAATTTTATAATGACTACTACTTCCATTATTTTTAACTGTGAAGTGTACCTTCTGAACCAAGGTTTCACACGCGAGCTAGAACAGTTTGAAAGTGTTTCCATGGTACAGATCGCGTTAGTTTCTGCATCGTTAAAATACTCTTAATTGTACTATATTGGCTAAGCTTTATGGCATTGGTGCGCAACCAGAATAAACGCTATTCCCTCCATCACCCTGTTTCCTTGATATTTTTGAGGTAGCTTAGCTGAAATCGGAGCAGTTTCAAACAAAGTGACTTTGCCAAGGTGGTTGCTGAGGTTTAGTTTAAGTTTATAAAACCGCAAAATGTCATTATGGTAGAAAAAACTCGATCTTTCATCACTTTTTCATTGTTTAAACTACTGTACACGTATCAAATACCGATACATTAGTGTTGTAAGATATATAAATCACATTTTTAAGACGGTTGTCCCACATAGCACTCTTCAGTCCATATATTTTCACTCATTTTGACTTTATTTTACCCTGGGATAAAGGTATTAAGGAATTTATTCCCTCTTTTTAAATCCGCATTTATCCTTTTTCTGAAAAAAAGGTGAATGACACAACTGCGATCCACAAACGACCTCAAATCAAGGAGAGTAATCAGCTCGACCTATTGGTGTGACAGACTGAGAGTGACAGTTGACCTAATCAGTTTCAATCAAATGCCATGTCAACACCTTACGCTATTGTCATCCTTATATGCGCGATAATGCATTGCGTTACATATCCATACACGAGCCCTCCTTATTAGTAAAGTCCAGTTGTCAACTTTGTGCCCAATCCATGACAAGCAACAATTCATCCCCATAAACAGATGAAATATGATCCACAACTTAATGAATCATAAATTTGTTTTTTTTTTACTATAATAGTTGCTATGGTGCTGGAGGTAGGAAATGGTGTATTTTTTGTATTCTCATTCGAATTTTTAGGTTTTATTATGAACGACAGGATTTTTCGGACAAATTTCTGAACAAAATTCCAATCAATCTAGGTCACTTTATTGCATTATCGTGGAACCTTTTCGACGACTATTCGCTCTATTTCTTCACTGTTGCTCGAGGTGGTATCAATGCGTCTACCAGTTGGACAACCGCTTCATCAATCTAAACTGACGTAAATAAACCCGTTAATGACACTTTACCCTATTTATACGTCTTTTTTGACCATGAAACATTCAACCAATAATTCTAATCTTGTTAACCAATTAAATTTTTTCCATCAAAATACACCAATTAGGATTTGTAATGTCCACAAATATTGCGAACTACAATAGAGATGAAGGCAAATTATTCCAGAAAAATAAAGAAAAACTTCGCTTTGTACGAAAATCATAAATATTTATTTATTTATATTAAATTGCAGGCATTTTGATAGTTATCATAAGCCCCTTAGTTGACTTCAGGCTTCACAGAGAAGAAGGAACATCAAAGTGAAAAAAAATCGAGAGGGGGAATAGAAGAGTGTTTTAAAGAAGTAAAAGAGACAAACGGACACAAAGGCAGGAAAAAGGTGAGGTGAGTACTGTGAAAGTAGTCCAATATGACATACAGTGGGGTGATGGTAGTTTGAAGGCAGAAGTCAACTGTCGGTTAATAGACTTTTTTGCCGTATGAGTATACGTTGCCCCAGGTTAATAGACTTTTTTGCCGTATGAGTATACGTTGCCCATAGTGCACCACGTGGAGGTAAGTCTATCGCACACCCATCTCACTAGTTAATAGACTTTTTTGCCGTATGAGTATACGTTGCCCAGCGGTTTATAGACTTTTTGCCGTATGAGGTCTGTTGCCCAAATATGACATACAGTGGGGTCATGGTAGTTTGAAGTCAGAGGTCAACTGCCGGTTTATAGACTTTTTGCCGTGTTAGGGTTAGATCAACTGCCGGTTTATAGACTTTTTTGCCGTATGCGCATACACAATGACATACAGTGGGGTGATGGTAGTTTGAAGTGAGAAGTTGTGACATATAGTGGGGTGAGGGTAGTTTGAAGTCAGAAGTCCACTGCCGGTTTATAGACTTTTTGCCGTATGAGTATACTTTGTAACATACAGTGGGGTCATGGTAGTTTGAAGTCAGAAGTCAAGATGTCAACTGCCGATTAATAGACTTTTTTGCCGTATGAGAAGTGATAAGTCAACTGCCGGTTAATAGACTTTTTTGCCGTATGAGTGGGTTGCCCAGGGTGCACCGCGTGGAGGTAAGTCTATCGCAACAACTGCCGGTTAATAGACTTTTTTGCCGTATGAGTATACGGTGCCCAGGGTGCACCACGTGGAGGTAAGTCTAAATATACATTGCCCAGGGTGCACCACGGAGGTAAGCCGAATGAGAATACGTTGCCCAGGGTGCACCACGTGGAG